TTGAGGACTCAGAAACAAGTTGTGCAAGCACTCAAGCTCCCACGGCCGGATTGCCGTCAAGTGGCTTGTCATGAAATATCGGAGCAAATGATAATTGGGGACCGATAATTTAACATGATTGTTGGTGGTGGTTATTTTCAACTAAGTTTGGCGTCCATCATAGGGAGTATGTTTTGTTTAGTTTGATAGGTAAAAGGTGTAAACACTACTTAGAACTTTCGATGTCGGGGAAAGTATCCAATTGGTTAAGCTGTAAATGTTTTTAAATGTATTTTTACTTCCTTTTTATTTATTTATTGAATATACAAATGGACGATCAAATTTCAGGAAGGGGGCCACGGCCATACAAAAGCTGCCTGGGAAAATACAGAAATAGGGAAGACGGGCGGCGATGGAGCGGTTCGAACCCGGGACTCCAAGGTCACGAGTTGGTGACCTAACCACTTGACCACCAAATTACCATTCACTGGATCCAGGGGATTTAGATATTGCGGTTGTTCTAGTGTTCATTTAAATGAATTCATTGTAGACGTCTGAGAAATCACTTAGATTTGAATGGATCCTTATATCTTGCTTGAACACCATTATCTTACCCTTTTAAAGGCAAATTCTACTGGCAAGAAGTGCGTCCATAGGTGGGTAATAAGTTTCATGCATGCCGCTTCCATGTGCGCAAAAACGAGGGATGGTTGGGCAGTTAATCGTATTTTTCTTCTGCTATGGTGTATGTACTGTTCCGCCCAAGTTTGCTTATGACGAATGCTTCTATGAACGGAGCCACCTGCAGGTCAAGATAAGAATCTTTTTATTTTACTTTCTTTTATTGAATATACAAAGATACGATTTTCAGGAAGGGGGAAGCGGCCAATCAAAGGGCTGCCATTCAACAGACAATGGGTAAAGTCAGGCGGTGGTGGTGGGATTCGAACGCATCCCCGGGGTGATAATTTGGTGACGTTACCACCGAGCCACCTGCGGATTCAATTTCCAATGCGAACTCCATTTTCGGATTGGCTCCACGGAAGCTCTCCAGCAGAATATCTTTGTCACTGCAATCGAAGTCACAAATTTGGCACTCGTAAAGCTGGCATTTCAGTCGAAAGAAAGTGTACACAGTAGGGAGAAAAATGTTGAGTCTCAAACCCCTTTTAAAAAAGTTTGCAAAAACCAGAATACGTGCTGTCGTGAGGTAACGATATGTGAGAGGGAACCCAACGATATCAAGATCTAGTAGACGGACGAGGACAACAGAAAATTGAATTCGTGTGCAGTAGACACATGGGATTTACGAGAAGCTTGTGCGCAAACTTATCACTCGCGTTCAATTGAAGTTCACACATATCGGTTATCAAATCCTCCAGCGGAATTGTTGAGACTCGGCTAAAGACACCTTAAAGTCTTTCTTTAGGGTATTAGAAAGAACAATAGGTGAACCTTAAGGCGAAACAGGGAAAACATACCCCTACGTGAATTGGGAGATAATTGACAACTCGATCCGAAAATGACGAATTTTACGCATATGGAGAGGAAGTCCTAGATGTTTAGACACGATATATTGGATGTGAAAGGTCCAATGAAGATTACCACCGAAAACACTCTGAGTATTTGGTACACCCACCCCGGAGGACCGGTTCAGAACTAATCGATGGGGGATCGGATGAGAAGAACGTGACGAAAGATTGGAAAATGGTTGAGGGATCTTCAAGTTGTCATCGGAGATGGCCCGACATGAAACAGCGTAGTTAGCGCATTTGAAGACAGAAGTCGAGGGATAAGCAGACAAACCGTTAGTATAGGTAGAAAACAAGTATGGGGAATGGACATCAAGAACAGAGTACCCAGAGTTGTTCACCAATGGACTGCTTTCGACCTAACCTGGTGCACTGAGTTCACACACGAAAGTAACTAGTAAGCCAAGCTAATAACTGCTTGAGACAACCGAAGGTCTTCAGAATAAGGGAATCAAGCGCATATGACTAGTAGCGAAATACACAACGTACAGATTTCGTAGAGTCCTGTTTAGACTTGGTATTCATGCGTACAAGTGAAGGAACTACATCCAGCTTATATACCTGTTTAGTCCGTAGGCAAAACTGAACAGGGTCAAACGGGACGTCAGCAGAGGACCGGATGAGTGTAGAGACACGTTATGCTAGTGCAAGACCAACAGAAGTAAGAGCAATAAGGCGGAAGTGTTTGGTTAGAATGGTTGGATTATGAAATTTGGGAATAGGAAAAACTGGTACCAGTCTCCAACAGTTTGGGGTGGAACATTTATTAATTATTTCACTAAAACAATTGGCTTCATATGTCAAAAGGGAAGACGTAAGACCATCGAACCCAAGACCATACGTGATTTTCATGTTACGCAAAAGCTTGAAAGTTTTTTCTCTTGAGACAGTCCATATTTGAAGGGCATCCTCCAGAAGAAATGGTTTCGCGGGTGAACAAATGCCGCATTGAAACTTTCCATGCCCGTTGCGCAACCGGAAGTTTAGGCTTGGATCCCCCAAAGCAATTTGATACCTAGTCAGATGCACTTACTATTGTTACACCGCAGCATCGTATATGCGTACGATTTCCTCAAAATATCGCTTGTAAAATATGGATTCTTCTATGGATTTTGAGTGCTCCATTTTCCAAATTGGTCGTGAAAATGTCTGTGAATAGTGGTCCCAATGATGAACCCATGGCTATTTCCTCTTTCTGTGTATACGTTGCACCATTACACTGAAATCGTATGTTAGATTACCACAGATAGAGAAGTCGTCTGAGCCCATTCTCATGTAGACCAACGAATTTTCTCGAATTTTCTATATAATTGCCAATGAATTCAGTGATCAATATCACATAATGTGGTAAGATCAAGCGGGAACACGTGCATATTGGTTAAGTTTATAGGTAACAAGTTGGTAGAGAACACAGATATTAACGAGCTACGGTCCTCATAATGTTCCCTACAAGCTGGCAGAGTAGAGAAAATTTCTATTCGAAACTCGATCCCGCAACATGACCTAATTACTGCGATGTTCAAACATCGCAATTCAGTCGAGGCTGCGGGACAACACGAAGCTTTATTGTCAATATCAAGACCAGTAGGTAATACACACATCCACTTTACTGAACATTTTTCTTAGCCCAGAACAAGGAATAAACCGACTAGATTTCAGTCCGCAATTACCTTTTCTCGAAAAAAATAACTGGCTAGCGCTATAGATACCGCGAAAGGAACTGTCTTTTTTCTCTAACCGGAGTATATTCGTAATCTTATATTCGCACAATTATTTTAGTTTTACATCTCACATTGTCCCTTTTCTTTCTCAACTGATCTATTACGTCTATTAGACGATTAGACTAAGGGCATTTAACCTTCGCATTCTCATTTGCACGTTGACTGTTTTGCGAAAAATCATTCGGTTCTTCAAGCAACATCAGCAGCATTATCGTACAACGTAATACAATGAAACGAACTTCACTGATCGCTACCAAACTCATAATGCATACAACGTAAGTGAGAATGTGCAAGGAGGACAGGGATTGGACCCATTTGGGGAGGGGGGAAGCGGACCTCTATGATCGACACAGAGTACAAAGTCCAACTATGTATACATGCTATTTCAAGCATTCTGGTCTGATAAGCAGTGACAGCATGTTCGACGTTGTTGTCGGTTCGCAGCCATGACCTTCAGTGTCCCTAACCATGCGGTTACGGAGATTTTTGAAGACGAAAGAAATCTACTCTACCTAATCGTTCTGTGCGATTCCTCATGTATCGCCTCCGCATCATCGGCTGGTCTCCGCGTGGCTTTCTCCAGTCTGCAGCGGCCATTGCAAATAAGGTGCGTTGCTGTAGGGGACCTTACGAAATACGCGAAACGTGTCTTAACCAACGGAGCCTATTGAGGTGGATTCGATGCGATAGCGAGTTCTTGTTCGTTGCATTTCCAAACACCCGACGACGTACTTCTAGGTTACTAACCCACTCACTCCATCCCGGACTACGTAAGCATCGATTGCCGAAAACCACCAGGTCTTCTACCCGCAAATTCAAGGTCTCAACCGTAAAGCAGAACTGATTGTACAGTATACGCGACTTTTCAACTTCAATGAAACATCACCTCGTCGCCATAGGCGTTTCAGTCCTGCGTACGCTGCTCGAGCCTTGGAAATACGGACGGTTATCTCCTTTGATGCGTCGTTGGTCACGCAGTTACCCAAGTACGAGAAGCAGTCAACTTCGGCTAATTCCGGAGCGTCTAGTCTTAGAACGGGACTTGATGACACCCAGTATTGCAGAATCACTTTGCACTTGAAGGTGCAAAGCACAGGCCGAACGGAGCGACAGAACTTGTTAGTCTGTCAAGTGCTTCTTTTGCATCCTCCATACATTCGAACAAGCAGGCGATGTCGTTATAGTACTCCAAATCGCACAGCTTTTCTCCAGCTGCCAATTCAATACCTACAATTTCGTGACCACTTAGTGCGTTCTTCAGCATTTCCTCTATGAAGAAATGGAACAGGAACGGCGAAAGAGGGCACCCTTGACGAACACTGCTGCTAGTTACGAACGACCTACTCAGCTCGCCGTAGACCCTTACGCTACCAGAAGTATGCGAGTAGATTGAACGCAGTATGTTCACGCAAGGGACTCGCGGTCAACTGAGTCGAGGGCTTCTTTTAGGTCAAGGAACACGAAAACCGTTGGTCAACCACGTGTATGGCGCAGCTCGAGGACTTAACGAAGCGTAAAAGATTTATTTGATACAACCGCTACCTGGTCGAAATGCTGTTTGTTATTCGCGAATATCAACCATGCAATGGGCATGGCGGTGGTCCCGATTATCCTATGCGATGAGCGATGCAGTGCGGAATTATCTTTAGTTCGTGTATGCATTCACTCAACGGATGAGGACGAAACAGTTGCAATAGGTTAGAACAAAGTGTTAGGGTAGAGTATGTATTTTACAAAGTTGGGTAAAGCAGGAAAGCAACAGGGCGTATCACCGCTGCTTGAATCCGTATTTTTTCCGTTCATAGAACAAATCTGTTTTTGCGCTTCCCAGATTTACGATTTTCGGACAGCCATCACGCTGGAAAAAATGAATGGTGAGTAGAAACCAGATTTGGCTGAAAAACTTACGTCTTTTTCCATGCAAGTACACTGCCTGCAATAGTAAGCATCAGATACGCCAGGGCCTCCACAGATTACACAGCGACCTTGATGAGATCCATAATTGCATTCGTCACATATGCGTACCAGAGTACACGGACGAACGTATGAATCACAAATCACACACTTTCCATCACATTTCTCACACAATCGGCCGATAGCTACGAATTGTCAGGATTAAACAAAACATAAACATACCGACTCCGGGTTGTTTCCTACAGAAAATCAAATCCGGATGGTGTTTAGCCATCTAGGGAGCAAGCTAAAACAATAATTGGATAAAATCGTTGGTTTTCAAGTAACATATTTGAATGATACCATGAATCATTGTATTGTGTGTAATATCTTAGAAAATTTTCTCATCTTCAAATTACCCACTAGATTGTATTTGTTAGGCGAGTAAAGCGCACATTACGCTTTTTTCAGTTTTCCTGCTTGTCATCTTGATTGTGTGTGCGTAACAATTCATTCATAAAGAGACTGAACGGAACTGGTGAGACGCCGCGCGTTTCTATGACTCAATGAGCTACATACGACGACTTTTTTCAGACCGAAGAACTGATCGTATCTGAAAGGTCGACGAGCAGAGGTCAGACAAAATTCAATCAACTGGTCCTCCGGGCTTTGGTTGAGAACATTATTAGTTCTACTTATTAGTTGGACTTCCTAGTGGTTCACATGCATAAAACTTCAACAGACAGACTATAAGAGAGATCGGGGAGATAAGGTCCGAAATAGGATAGTATCATCTAGCAACTGCGTGGTGCGCATACCGGTATTGTCGCCGGGAGTCACTGTTATCGAAGACGTATTAGAGAATAAGCAATGGTAAAGTTGTTTGCCGCACTCGTAATAACTCCAGCAAGATTCAGGAAGGAATCGCCAGATGAGGTGGCTCACCGGAAGGCTCTGCAAGCAACAACTACCGTGGAAAAAAACTTGGTAATCCTCGGATGCTGCGTCCGAGGTTCAATGAACCAAAACGGAGGATATCGTTTCTGCTGTACACCATCGCTTGTAGCGCTAGAAATAAATGGAGAGACGACTCAGGTTGCCTGGGGACAAAATGTGACTGTAGTGGTAATCACCGAAACCTGGCTTTCTAATGAAGACCACGTGCCGTAGACGGTTCAAGACCCACTGCCTTGTGGGTCAAACTTTTGAGTCAAAGGCTCCGGTTAGGATTCCCAAAGAAAAACCCCTTCGTCGGTGGGCTACCGCGAAGTATGTCGTGCCCTCAAGTCTTAGGCACCCATTTCCCATCTGTTCTTCTCGATCCCGAATAATACTTAACACCTGCTGTTTACAAGACCCATCGGATACCACTCAACGTTTTATTAACAAGTCCAAACAATCAGAAGCTACAGGATTTTTGAAGCCGAAATTCCCTTTTCAATTAGCCGCGTTCAATGTCCGCACACTCTATCAGATCGATCAACAAGCTGCATTGGCTAGAACCCTTGAAACTTTCAATTCAGATGTATGCTGTCTCCGAAACACGCATACAAGACCCCACTTCCATTATCTCTCTGCGTTCTCCTGATCCAACCTCAACCTCACGCATCACCCTTCGTGTGTCAGGCGATTCGGCGTCCGAAGCTCGCGGTGTTGCTGGTGTCGGGATTGCGCTAAGTGCTTAGGCTAAACGCTCGTTTCTCGACTGGATTCCAGTTAGTAGCCGACTGTGCGCCGTACGTCTCAACGGTTCAGCGCGGGTCAACAGCTACAGAACGAAGCGTCGATGTCTATTCGTCGTGTCGGTGTGTGCACCGACGGATTGCAGTACACCTGAAATAAAGGATGAATTCTACAAGGACCTTTCTCGATTACTCCAAAGCGTTCGATCAACGGACATCGTGGTAATCGGCAAGTGCGTTCCCTAGACAAATCAGAGGCTTCGTTGCGGACCACGTGCAATCCCAGCCAACCGGACGGACAACAGCGACCGCCTACTTTAACTCTGTGCCGACCACGGACTGTTCCTGTCAAACATGAACTTCAAGCACATGAAACATCACCGTCTTACATGGAGACCGCCAACCGCTTCACAGCGCTGGACCCAAATCGACCACATCACTATCAGTTACCGCTGGAGGGGATTGATTCAAGACTGCCGCTCTTACTGGTCAACACCAGTTGATACAGACCACGCTTTGCTACGAGCCAAATTCTCCTTACGCCTGGCAAACAACTGCAAAAAAGCCACCGAAAACGGATACCTACGATACAACGTCAGCAATTGTTGCTAATCGGGCTTCAAAGCGGAACTCTCCGATCGCCTGTCAGTTCAACCACCAGCCGAAGGACTCAATGAACACTAAAAAAATCAAGGAATCTATGCAAATATCAATAAAAGCAATGTCAGACACTCACGCAGGCTCAAAACAAACGATTGATCTCATCGACCTCGGCTGCCCTACTGGACACCCGCAGAACCCTTCCTCCGGATGCCGCATATGACACAGCGCGCAAATTCCTCAAACACCAGCTCATCACGAGTCTGAGGAATGACCGTGAGAAGTGGTGGATAGGAAAGTGTAGAGAGATGGAGAAGGCTGCGGCTATTGGTAATAGTCGCAATCTTTTCCGTCTAGTTAGGAATGCGGGTCCTAGGAAAATAAGCGTAAGTGAGGTAATTAAGGAATCCAATGCACTGATTCACGATCAGCAACGCGGTCTTGATCGATGGGCTGAACGTTTCAAGGCTCAGTTCAACTGGCCTCCATCGACGTTTGAACTGTCGCTCTCCACCGCGACTGCGCAAATTCTGCCAGTCGATGCCACTCCTCTATCTGAAATGGAGGTTTCCCGGGAAATAAGTTATCTAAAAAGGCATAAGGCCTCAGGCCCAGATAGGCTCTCCCCATCCGTTTTTAAGGATGGACGTTTAGCATTGGTTAAAGAGTTAACGAAACTCCCGAGCTGAGTGTGGGAGAGGGAACAGATTCCAGCTGAATGGTATGAATTGGTCATCATACCAATTTACAAGAAAGATGACAGATCCTCTTGTAAAAACCACAGAATTAGTTTGGTCAACATTGCTTCTAAACTTGTTGCTGGTATCATACTTCATCGATTGTCTGCCGCACGTGAGAACCAAGCTGGTTTTAGGCCTGGTCGAGGTTGTATCGATCACATCTTCACTCTGCGTTAAATTCTGGAGCTCCGACATTCTTTTCGTAGACCCACCATCTCTATTTTCCTGGATCTTAAAGCGGCCTTTGACTCAGTTGACCGCTATAAACTCTGGCGCTACTTTTCCCTGAAAGGTGTGCCCGAGAAGTTAATTTCAATATTACGATCGCTTTATACCAATAGCCGAAATCGAGCCTGAGCTTAGGACACATTTTCACCCGATTTCACCACGGAAAGTGGTGTTCGTCAGGGTTGTCCACTCTCTCTATTTTTGTTCAACTTTGTTATA